CTTAATTGTTATGGAGGGACTAAGGGTGCACTTAGTGAGGAGGCAGCTGATCTTTGATCTGTTATGTGTTATCACACAGAAGATATATATATAATGTTTAATGAATGTATACAAGAACGTGACAGATTAGAGAGTTTCTTTCTGGTACAAACTGGGTCTTTGGAGGAGGACTGAGTTCATTTCAAGATTAATTTTAAGATTAAGAAGTTCTGACCTCCCACTAAAGGAAGGTCAGAACTTCTTTTGTGGGCACTCAGGTCTTTTGTATGCAGGAAAATCCCTAGTTTTGTTTTTGTTTTTACAGATGTTGTAGGTCAGGCTGAGATTTGTCCTATGGTGAAATAGTTGCCCATATGTGACTCAGAGGACGAGAGTATTCTTGTGATTATTTTCCAACCTATAAATAACCTTTTAAATTGCTGCAGGTCAAGTTTGATGCACATCACATCTGGCCATTTCTGAGGAATCCGTTGTAGGCACACAGGAAACATATAGGACAGAAAATGTCCCATTAGAGTCAGTGCATAATCTCCTCTATGATCTATAATCTGTAATCTGAGTCAGAGTTTACTGACCTCACGTGTGGCTCATCATTACATGTCAAACACATGTAGCTCACAAGCAGGCGCTCATGGATGAGGAGCCAGAGTCAAGTGTCCTACTTACCTCGTGTACCGAATGACCCGGTTATGTGTAACCATGGCGCCGAGCAACGCCCGCACCACCACCACCAGGCACATCTCACACACGTACATACACATACATGCTGTGTGCATTTACTCATGCATACAGAATAGAAGATGTATGCATAGAAACGCAGAGATGCACATTCAGCATGCTCGGATGAACACAGATGGGAGGCGAGGTAAATCACTTCTATATCATAGACCCTGTGTAATAAAACCAGAACACAAAAATTCCCTCATAATGACAATAAGAGCAGATAAACTGTGTAGGATGATTTCACGTTTTTGGTGATTTGGAGGAAGAAAGCAGATGATTCATTTTGTTTACTTTTTTTTTTTTTAAACACAAACGTGTTTTAAACCAAGACTGCTAATCCGGTTCAGGATTTCCTAAAACATCTGTAGATCTGCGAAGTTCAGGGTTTCTGTTGGTATAGTACAAACTGATCTCCACTAAATCTGTGCGTCTTTTTATTTACCATGAACAAAAAATGACGTTACATTAGCTTATGTATCTTATTAGCCCTAAGTGAAGACAGATGATGTTGGCTCTGTTATTTGATATCACAAAGTAGAAATAGTATCATGTATTCTGTCTGTGTCTCCTTTCATGTGACACAAAAACTGACGTTTCTCTGAGGAGTAAAAAACAAGAGCTGATGCCTGACCGATACAGTGGTTTTAAGACCAAAACCAGTACAGATACCATCACCGATATTTGGTGATTTAAAACTATGATATATGAGTTGATATTTTTCTTTCAGATGCACAAAACATAAACAGATTTCCCCGACTTTTTTATGTGCAGTTTTTTTATTTGCTTGTTTACACTCTGCCCGACTCTGCTCAGCTCAGATGGTTGCTTGCAGCGTTCCAGTTGGAACGCTGACACTCATAATATACTTAAAGGCTGTTTCTCCTGTCTCTTGTTTACTTTTTTGTTTATCACACCTTCAAAATGTCAATACCAATATATCAGCCAGTGTCTTATATCGATATATCGGCGGGGCAGATTGTAATCATCCTAGGTCTGATTGTGGGTTTTTGAACATTTGAGCACTGATGAATTCTTTGTTTGGTGTTTTAGTTTTGTTTATTCATTTTTATGTTTTCTGGAGTGTTTGGGGTTTTTTTGGTTTCTATTATAATTTACTTGTAATTTTCGAGTGTGAATGTTAATTTTTGAGTGTTCCCTCTGTTTCCTGTCTTGTCATCTTTTGTGTGCAGTTCTCTAATCAGTTATAGCTCTGACTTCCTGTTTTATTTTGATAGCTTCTCATCTCTAGCATCTAGTGTTTAATTTTACTTCCTCCCCAGACACATTGTCTTTCATTAGCTTCACCTGTGTCTCATAATCCAGCTGTGTCCACTCCCCCTGATACTTTTTTTTAAAAACCAGAGCAATCAGATGTTCAGGGATCTATAAACCTAACAGCTGTATCTCTTTCCTATTGTCACATTTTACCTGTAAGTATTTGAGGACAACAAAGGGACAAAGAGGGGCATGTATTACTTTAGTTGAAGTTTCATAGATATCACCCTTGAATTTATCCAACCAGCACTGTGTGAGCAATACAGGGGATAATTATTTCTTTTTTCCCCAAGTAATATTTTTTTTATTTTTCTTTCTTTTCCACAGTGTATGTTTGAGTGGTGATCCTTTTCTCTGTACCCTCGGGAAAATACCAGTGTTTACATCACATATATCCATGTTGGTATTTGTGCAGCAAGTCTGCTTTGAAGAAAATTTACAGTTCAATCTTAAATGTTACTTTACAGATCCATCCCTTTGTTATTTAATTAAAATAAATTATCCATCTCTGTCTTCTGTTTATTGACTTTCTGAAGCTTCTCTGTGTGGGTTCAAGCTTAAAAATATTTTTCAGAAACAGCAATTGTTTCAGAGCAAGTTTTTTAAAAAATAATTAAAAAAAACTCTTGTGCTGGTTTTGTAGTCTCGCCCTTGTTTTTGACATTAGAAAGCTCAGAAACACGAGCTGCACCTCGATTACACGAGCACAGGCCGTGGAAGATGAGGAACTCATGAAAATGAAGCTTTGGCGTCGCATCGCTGTGTGCAAACAGCACGTGTAACATGTACATGTACCCAAAGCCAGCATCGGCAGCATGTCCTGCTAAGCTAAGGGAGCATTAGTGAGTGAGTGTGTGCAGACAGCAGAGGCTCTAACGTGTCCTCTGTCTTTCCAGTGATAAAGACGGGTGAGAGCGGCCTCACCGTCTTTAGGCTGCTCACCAAGGACAACAGGTGGAAGTGGGTCCAGGCCAACGCCCGGCTCATTTACAAGAACGGCAAGCCAGACTACATCATCGCCACTCAGAGGCCTTTGGCGTGAGTGTTTCTTGATTCCAGTGTGATTTTTTTTTTCTTCTTCTTCTTCTTTATTTAATTTCTCCTCTCTAATGGATTCATTCACAGGGACGAAGAAGGAGGGGAACACCTGAGGAAGAGATCTTTGCATCTCCCCTTCACCTTTGCCACCGGTGAGGCTTTGCTCTACCAAACTGGGTATCCGCTGCACGGCTTCTCCGACCCGCTCCAGGGCAAAGCCAGAGGCAGCAAGTCCAAGAAAAGCAAAGGAGAGAAGGGCTCTTCAGATGAGCTGGACCCAAAGTCCCTACTGGGGGCGCTGATGAGTCAGGATGAGTCCGTATACGTATGCCAGCCAGATACGGAGCCTAAAGTGTCCTACCACAGCACTCTTTTCAGTGAGCAGCAGAGCAGGGCTGATGGTCTGGGTGCTTTGTTCAGTGGTGACAGCTGGTATGTCGTCTCTAGCGAGGAGTCGCCAGGGGAACGCAACGGCAAAACCTCCAGTTTTGACCCCCTTCTGACCACATTGGACTCTCTGTCTCTCGATGGAGAGGAAACATGCTCCAACAGCGAACTGTTCAGCGCCCTAGAGAATCTGGGCCTAAATGCCGAGGACCTGGAGCGGCTGCTGCTGGACGAGAGGATGATGCATGTGGAACTGGACCCAGATCACATCCCAACTCTCAGTGACCTTCTCACCAACAACGAAATCCTCTCCTACATTCACGACTCTCTGGAGGGTGCGAGCGAGAGGCAGGAACAGGTGAACACAGGCAGATTTGGGTCCTCAAACCACCAGTCAAACTCAGATTCTGCCCAAAGTGTCTCCCAGCAGGTGTGCTTGACTGCTGGACCAGTGACGGGGGGACCTGACAGTCACTGGGTGGTACGGACGGGGAATCACCACAACCGTCATCACACCAACCATAACAAAGCCACGGAGCTGGACAGCAAACATGCGAACGCTCAACAGTGGCAGCTGCAACAGGAACAGCTCTCTGCCCCCCTCCAGTACCTGCAGGTAAGCAGTGACAGCACTCTGTTGTCTGGCTTCCAGAATAATCTGCTCGGACCGACTTTAAACGGGTCCTGCATCCCAAATGGACTCTCAGCTTTTCCCCCAAGCGTGGTTGCTGGACACCAACATTACAGCGTCAGTGGCACAGACGGCGCAGTGTTAAATGACTCTACGTTACAGGAGGTCTGTCAAAGTTTGGTGAGCACTGTGCAGCCCTACCAGCTGCTGGGACACCATAAGCATGAACAGACTGAGGAGCTGGAGCAGTTACTGGTCCTGACACAGCCACCGCACAGTGTACCATCCTTAGAGACCCACGGTGTGTTTGCTGCCACCCAAGACTCCACTCACAGCAAGGTGAGAGACTGTGGAAATATAGGTTCAACCTGAAACTGAATTAGCCAGAAGGTTAATCGCATGACCCAAATAGGTCATAATCATAGATGTGTGTGTAGTATGCGTAGTGTGTAGTATATATATATATATATTAGGGGTGCAACGATATTCGTATCGATATCGAACCGTTCAGTACGCATATGTATCGAACAATACAAAATTTGTAATTTATTTTATCAACTTTCCCTCTGACGATGCTGTCTGTGTTGAGCGCTCAGTGAATCTGCGTTCGACTACTCCGCCTAGGCTGCACTGTCGAGCGCAGATCCACTGAGCGCTCAACACAGACAG